ATTTAATGGGTTTAAAAGCAAATGACTGAGTTTAACAGAATTTCCTTTGAAAAAAGGAAGGTAGTAATTATTTATCCTGTTGGGCTTTTTCTTTAAAGTAAACACATCCTAGAAGATTTTATTGATGATTTTTACGTCCAGTGAATTCTATAGCCATATTCAAGAGAAGTGATCAGTGTTTATTGTATTCCACAGGACTTTTCCATCCAAGATTTTGCAGACCTGGGGGCTGCCTGCTGCAGTCATTAACCCAAGTAAGACTCCCATCCCTTCTAGTATTTCATTGAAATAGAGACTGAGCGATTTAGCATTTAAATACCACTTTGGAGGAACATCGGGTGCCCTCTCTAGGTGCTCCCTCACAAGGAATTTACGCAACACAGACTATGCACAGATTGGAAGAAGTGTCATCCTACACAGGACCTCACAGTACTGACACCAATTCTGCAAAATAAGTAAGCTTTTTTTATTTTTTTTTCTTTAATTTTGGTACTGCTTACTCCTTTGTGAATTTCTCTCCTGATTTTCAATTTCAGCAGTTCAACAGAATGAAGAATTAAATGTACATTGAAAAGGCCCCAAACTCTTACAAGCATAGAGGACATACCCCTTCTGAAACTAGGAGATCTTGCTTAATTTCTAAAGGTACAGGTAAGAGTGATCTGCAGAGCAGTTGATATGAGTGACAGCAGGAAGCATCTCTACATCCCAAGATACTACATGATGGGAATTAGGCTGTCTGAGCAGTAAAACAACTACACAAAATTCACATTCATTCTCTTCCCAGGAAGCTGTTTCATATCTTGAAACTGCTTTGTTCATTCTCACATAACACAGGTCCTGCTGCAGTCATAATTATGCTTTAAAAAAAATAGACACAACAAGGAAATGCAGGAACAGTGTCACAGAAATAGGCACACAGAGCCATGGGAAAGCATGTACTACATACAGATGACCATGGTGGTAGAATAATTCAGGCCTAAAAAAAACTTCTTTACAGTCTATGGAAGAGTTACCCCAGTCACTGAAATGGATGCTGGATTACATCCTTTGTGTGTAAAAAGGAAAAAACATTAGTCAGCATAGGAAGAGCATTTAACTAAAATGCATCCGTTCTTGTTAATTTAAGGGAAAAAGCTAAAGCTTACTATTAGGGAATGAAAATTCCAGCTGGATTTGGAATGGATATGGCCATTGACCAGCATCAGAGACAAATCCCAGGAAAGCAACTTGCAGGCTTATCTGCAGCAGTGTCCAAACCCACTCTGTGCTCACTCAGGTCCCAGCAAACAACCTGTACAGATATTGGCACAAACAATTCCACAATGATAAATTATGAAACCCTCTATCTAACTGCAATTTATTGCTATTTTTAAAGCCTTTTACTACCCTGCAGCCCTTCATAAGGCTGCTCATGAGTGGTAACTGAGTATGTGACTGTGCCAGTGGGTCTTACGGGAAATGTCGCAGGAGCAATGAGATTAATCACTGCTATAAAACCTAACGCTTCTGACGGGGAGGAAAGGGCATCAACCCGGCCTACTTTTCCCACTTATAGTCCAGTTCAGTGCTGTGAGTGCATGAAGTTGCTTGTGAGGGTTCAACAGTATGAAAAATGACCCTGATTTTCCCAGTGCAGCTGGAAGGACTGGCCAGGGCAAACAGCAGGGCACAGGAAGATTCTACGTTCAAGATGCCTTTTGAAAGATTCCTCAAATCGGTGTTTGCTGATCAGTTCATGGAACTGCTTCTCCTATGCTGACTGTCAGGGCTTTCTTTGTGGGTTTGTCAGTATAATTGGCAGAGCACCATAGCATCAAACACGTGCCTCTCACAACTTTTCCTGTCAATCAAAAGAAGTAGCTTTTTTCCAAATGTAATTAAAAATACATCCACACAATTTCCCATGGGTCCTTCCTGACTGCTCCCCTCACTTTCCACAGCAGCTAGAAGCAATAGCAGATTACTGAGCAGTGCTGGTGCAGATTTTCTTCCTTTCCTCACATCTGGCTGAACTATTTGCATTCTCCATATCAAAAACATGCCACTTCCCTCTTATCCTCTTGGATAGTGGAGAGTGATTCCCCTTGGTGAAAACATCCAGTGTGCTCAAAATTTTCAATTTGGGGTAGCTAGAAGTAATCTAAAAGAGAGATGAGAAATAATCTGCATGCATTTAGACATCCTATGGGGAGTTAGGTTGCGAACAGAGAATCATCAGATTTTGAAAGTGGGCTTGAGGGCACTTCTTTATACCCCAGAGGAGTAACAAGCCCCACTCCACTGCCAAAGGGTGCTTTGTTTATGGCAGACACAGAGAGGATCCTGCTGGCAGCTTTACACAGAGACAACCTGCACTGGAACAGGCCACATCCCTGCTGTGGCTGGGTGTGTACTGCTGGGGTGAGGCAGGGAACACTTGCAGTAAAATAACCCTCAGAAATTGTAACACAACACGGGGCACTGCACCCACCCCTTCTGTCCCTGGGAGCTGGGAGCGGGTGGTGCCTGACTGCAGACAGAAGCACTGCAGCACAGGTTGCAGCACAGGTTGCAGCACTGGTTGCAGCTGGGCTGGTGGAGACCCAGGGCCTGAATCACCCCAGGCTGCCTCTGTCACCTCCAGAAAGACTTCCTGGAACACTGCAGGGGAAAGCACCTGCACTCATCTGGGTGCTGACTCCTCCTAGTTAAACTCCTCTCTTGCCTGCTGGGCAGGGTCTCCTAGGACACCCAGAGAAGTTTTGTCAGGTCAGGAGAGACCCTTTTCCTCCTCCTCCTCCTCCTGTGGACTATACATTGGAGTCTCTGACTTTTTTTACCCAAGCTAAATAGAAGGTCAGGCTGTGATGGATAAATTCTCATAAGAAATGCCCCAATGTTTACCTCCATTGGCAGAGAGAAAATTTCAGTGCAAAAACACCCTGTTTCAGAAAATTACAAGCTTTGCAGTCCTCACTCAGAAAGTCCTGCTGGATTTACTGAGACTCTTTCTCTCCAGATACAATTTACGAAGAATTTGATGACCATTAAGATATTAAAACTAATTACTTGCCAACTCTTGTGTGCTCTCATTATAAATAGTCCTATCTCGATTCCATTCAAACAACCTGGAATTTGCAATGTGCTGGGAGATACAGACCAGAAGTTTTGTTCACCTACTCTTTGTGCAAAAGAACTGATCTTCAATTGTGAGTTTGTATGTCATACTTTGTACTTGACATGTAGAAGTTCATCTCCTAGTCTTTGAACCAACCAAGCAATTAAACATCTTTGCCGATAAGAGTGGGCCTAAATGCTTCCCCATCTGAGGAAATGCTGGCACATGGTTAAATCACGGGATTCTCATAATTGCTGGGACATCTCCTTATCACTTTAGTTTCATCACTAAATCTGCTTTACTAAAAAGGGACAAACTCCAGTGCTTGTCTCTTGGCTTTGGATTTAGAGTTAGCACAAATTGCATCTTCCTCTTATTTTGTAACAAAGACTAAACTCTACTCCATAACAGGGGAAAGGCAGTCCTTTCTGTCCTGGATAAAAACTCTGATCAGCATGGCAGGGAGCAGCTAATTCTTGTGCATTACCTGTTATAATATTTTGGACACTGTAAGTAGAGCTTTCCTTAAATACAGTTCCTTAGGCAGCTATAACTCCCATAAGCATCCATTCCTTCCCCCCTGCAGCTGAGATCAGCTGTGTACTACCAGCTGCAAGGCTGATTATGGATCCGACAGGCATGAAGTTGCATACACTGTCACCAAGAGCTTCATGCAAGTGCCAAGGATACTGCCCTAGGCATCCATGAAGCTCTGTTTTTCTGCAAGTTCACACTGCTGCTTCTACACAGCAGACAAGACCTGAAGCGTAAAAAAGACTCTGTTTTTGTGTGCTATGGCTGGTGCACAGAGCTGTGCCTTCTAAAGCACGTCTGTGGCACCTTTCCTGTCTTGAAGTTTTAAGAAAATAGGAGCAGGCACCAGAAACCTCTAAGCCAACACAGCTAATAATTGCCTGTTGCTATTTCACTTTCCTCTGGATACCTGTTACTGACCTTTGATAGGGAACACAACAGGCTTTGAAGTGCTGGGAAAGGATCTGGGAACTCACACCACCTGCAGGATCCAAGTACCTGCTCCCTGATGGAGAGCTCCTCATCCCCCAGGTTTGCCTCCAGTGAGCAGCCACACAACACACTGCATCCAAACTGCTGCCCTTACTTGGGGTTAGGCACTTTGGGGGATGTACCCCCTGATCCTCAGTGCTTCAGTGAGCTGAGCTACTGAACTTGCTTGTAGGTACTGTTTCTTATAAAGCATGGTTGGGGAGAAGGCAATATCAGCCTATGTACACACTACAGGTATGGTGGGTCAGTGACTAAGGAACTGTGCTATTTGTTAGCCTCATACAAGCAGCCATCTGGATTTAAAAGCCCATACACATTCAAGAGGAGAAACTGCATCTGGACCTTGTATCTAAACAAGATTTGATGACTCACATTAATAGTGCAGTAAAGTGATAAATATACCTCATTATATTTAATTATATTGCCTGCATGTAAGTCAGGGAAATCCCAAGCAGTAGGCAGTTGGAGAATAGAAACTAGCCCTTGAGGACTTGGGGTGTTGGTTGATGAGAAGCTCAACATGACCCATCAATGTGCTCTCAGAGCCCAGAAAGCCAATTGTGTCCTGGGGCAGCACCAGAAGCAGTGCAGGGATGGGATTCTCTCCCTCTGCTCTCCTGAGACCCCACCTGCAGTGCTGTGTTCAGGGTTCCATAAGAAGAAAAGAGACCAGAGGAGGACACAAAGGTGGTCAGAGGCTGGAGCACCTCTCCTATGAAGACAGTCTGAGAAAGTTCATCTGTTCAGCCTGGAGAGGAGTAGGTTCCAGAGAGACCTTAGAGCACCTTCCAGTAACTAAAGGAAGCCTACAAGAAAGCTGGAGAGGGACTTTTCACACAGGCATGTAGGGATAGGACAAGGGGAAATGATTTTAAAGCAAAGAAGGTAGATTTAGATTAGTTATAAGAAAAAAATTCTCCATGACAAGAGTGGTGAGGCACTGAAACAGGGTGCCTAGGGAAGTTACCCCATCCTGCAAGTGTTCAAAGCCAGGCTGGATGGGGCTTTAAGCAACCTGGTCTAGTGGAAGTGTCCATGCTTATGGCAGAGGAGTTGGAAAAAGATGATCTGTGAGATCCCTTCCAAGCCAACCCCAACAGGGTTCTGTGATTAGTAAGATCTCTTTCAACACTCGCTTTAGGTGAGAATACAGCCCATGAGTTTCAATCTGATCTTTGGTGAGAAATGCAATAACTTACATTCTTCAGCTTCTGCTAATACAAATGAACACACCTGGGTGAGGAAACTTGCCTGGTCTGAATCACTCGAAACTAGGACGGAAGAAAGAAAAACACTTCAACATAAGTGATCTCTGCTATGTTAGGATTGCAAGCATCATGTTTTTCTCTTCCTTAAATGCAACTGACTGCAGTAAGCCCTCTTTTCCGATGCACTGAAAGCCTCCGCAGCTCCTACAAATTCAAGGTGGACTGTGGAGGTTTGAAAACATTTAAGTTCCTCTGCCCAGCCAAGGCAACAGAATAATTACTCCTTCACAGATTCCTTCACAGCATTCTGAATTCACAGCTCATCTTCTTCCCTGTGAGTAATTATTTAATATAGTATTGCTGTGTCTACAGGCATTTAAATTCTTGCAGGGAAACAGAGCTCCAAAGGATCCCATATGGAAGCACCATGATGTTGTGTAGTGGCATCGCTTCTGAACAACATTGGTTGACAAAACAACATTCCTTATATACAGAAGGTTTTCAAAGCAGCACAGAGGAGCAACTGTGCCTTTTTTCTGTTAAAATTGCAGTGGTGTAACTAACCTTCCTGCACTCCTTGGAGACAATCAACCCACGAATTCAGCCAATATTGCCAGACACTGGGCTTTGACAATGACCCAGGAATCTGGAGAACTTTTAGCAGTAAGAAGGTGAGGGCCAGAAGACAAGCCAGCTTCCCTGTCGTGCACAAAGCATGTGTCGTGGTCTAAAAGGGAGTGGACAAACTTGCCCAACCAAAAGCAGCTGCACAGTGAATCTTTGCATGAAGGCTGGCGAGGAAGACAAGCACAGTCAACAGTGAACAAGATCTGTAAACAAGACACTCCCTAGTGGTATTCAATGCAGAGTGCTGGGCACAGTTCATCTGCCTGTACTGATCTGTGCTTGCCCACGTAGCGCGAAGAGTGAAGAACGAATAAGGAGTATATGTGTTAGCTTCCCTCTGGGTCTTTTAGTGGTGTGCTTCTTGAGCCATTCCCTCCTCTTCCTCCTCCTCTCTGATGCTCAGCAACTGTGACCGTCCCTCAGGGCAGCAATGCTCAGCATGAAGTTCAAAGTCCTTCCTATTAAATGGGAAGAGTAAGATTGATGTGGCCTGAACTACCCAGGAGACAGCTTTACCTGGGGATTAAGGGCCACACAACTGTGTCAATCTTCCATTCCCTCTCCACTCTCTGTTAAAAATAGTCTCTTCTTCTGGTTTCGTCACTAATGAAGGATGGATTGTATTGTCCAGGGTAGATGCATGAATGTCGAGATCCAGGCAAACCAGTGTAGGGAGGATAAAGTCCGTTTCTTTCCAGTTCAGGATTTCTCAGTCCAGTTGGCTGTATTAGCAAAAAAAGCAAAAAAAAAAAAATTAAATAAAAAGGGTCTTATTCTCACACTTCAATCCTCCCTCAGGCACAGCCTTACCACATCTCTTTGCTGTTGGTTCAGTAGCTAGAGGGAACAATGTGATCTCTAATGATCTCTATAATCTAGAATAATTCTTGCTGTATTGCCTGAAGGGATCATTATGATGAAGTCTAATTTCAACATCTGGCCAATGAACAGACTTGAAGTTTACCTGACTCTGCCAAGTGCAGTCTAAGTACACAGTCAATATTTAATTTAAACAACATCATCCCAGAGCCATCCTTAAAGGAGACAGTTCTAGAAAAATCAAAATTAGTCTCCTGCTTTGAATATTATCTGGCCACTTCTCTCCCCATTTACCATAGGTTCCTCCTCTCCCAACACAGGCTCTTGAATTACACATCAAATACAAAACGATCTGGCCTTCCTTTCTCTTCCTTTCTTGTAACTAAATAAATCTCCTGGGGACACTTGGTGGAGGAACACTGATGTCTAAGATCAAGACTGTACAGTCGTTTCACCCAGTGAATAACATGAAGCCTCTTGGTTTAATCTGTTACAGAGCAGATTCATGTAAAGCCCTCATCAGCTACTGCTTGTTAAAAAGTTTCCCTTTCTAGTTCCCAGCATAACGAAGGTCTTTAAAAAAATTTAGAAAATGCATTTTCAAATGTCTCCTTCTTAGCAGAAGCATGAAAGAGGATTATTTGACTCCATGCTGTGCAACCCAGTCAATTTGCTTACTGAAAAAACTTAAAATACAATCCAGGAAAATAGCAATGCTCCCTGTTCTCTGCTCTGGAAAGCAAGGAGTCCAGAATGTGTGATTTGGGTGAAATCCTGTGACCTTCACTCTCATGAGTAACCCACACACACCTTAAGTACATTGCTGAAAATGAGTGACAGATGGTACAGCAGCACCACAGCTCTGGGTACAGCCACTAGCAGATGGTACCAACCATGACATAACATCTTGTGCTTGTGCCTCTGTGCCCGACACAGCCTATTACTCCTTATTCCCTCAGAGCTGAAGGGATGCTCCTTATCTACCCAGGAGAAGGAAGGAATGGTGGAAAAGAGGGGTCCTCAGCAACCAGCATCTTCCTATTTTGGGGCAAAGTTTCCCAGACAGAGGTTTCAACCTTCTACTTCATCAGCGAGGGTGGACAGGAGAAAACTGCTAACAGGGAACCTTAGCAGTTTATCCAAAACCTTTAAGTGTCCTTCTCTACTCTAGAATTGGGATTTTGATGCATTTTTACCAAAATATTCCTAGGCATTGCCTAAGCATTCTTCCTAATGACATCTCTTTGATGATATCTGTGGTGATATTCACCACAGGTAGTTGCTAGAGCCCATAGGACTCCTGATGCCTTACTGCCTATGGAAGACATTTGCTTTGCCCTTCTACCTTGCAGGAAAGGGATCTGCACTTCCAAAAATAAAGGAATATCTCTTTACTGTATGGGGCACAAAGGGTTAAAAGTTAAGCTATGGATAGATACCGAATAATACACATCTGTCATCTGCAACAGGTTCTTGGTGCTTCCATTCTCCTGCATCTCGATGGTCTCTCTGCCCCACTCCTGTGCCCGGGGATTCTTCGGATATTCAGCATAAGGTGACATCTGGAAATCCCCACTCTTGAAAATCAGTTTACTTATGTCATTTTTATTCTTCCTGTTTATAAAAGAATGAGGGAAAGTGAAAGCTTACAACTTATCCTGCTATTGTGTATACACTTCTGACATGATCTCAGGAGAGATCATTACTCGATGCTACGAATCTTGGCTGGGAACAAAGATCACCTCAGATGGACTATAGTCCAATCATCTGCTCTGAAGCCAAGTCAGATATGAAATCATGCAACTCAGGGCATTATCTGGTGAGATTTGAAATCTCCAAAGTTACATGGAAACCTCCCTAAGCAACCTGTTCCACAACCTTACTGTTCCCTCAGTGAAAGAATTTTTCCCTACATTCAGTTTGAACCCCTCCTGCTCCAGCTTGTTCCAGCCATGCCCCTTGCCTTTTAAAAACATGTGTGTTCACCAAGGTCAATGAAAAAAATTTGAAAATTGAGGAAAAAAGTATAGGAGCCCCCTATTAATTAATGCTATTAATTGTGCACTTGTAGGCCTTATGTTAATTCCTAAGAAGGAAGACCTGCAAAGAGCAGGCCTGAGTGACACCAAACGTCCCTCCAGGACTATAATGTTGTATGAGAGGACTTCAGTTGACACTTCAGCTCAATGCAGAGTATCCTTCAGGAAGTCATAAGCTGCCAGAGGCCAGGACTCATGAGAAGATCAGTCCATCCCTGTGGAGATCTGCACTCAGGGCCACCTCATGTCCTGGCTGGGGTTTGCTGGCATCCCCCTGGCTCAAATGATGGGATTATAGGAGCACACCACTGTGCCAACCAAACCACTGTCATGCCTATATTACTGACAAATCCAGCTGCCAGTATTCAACTGGATTCATCACAGAGCTTGAAATCCTAGATTTGGGGACTGGAAAGGTGGAGAGAGGGTGTTACTTCAAGGTATCCCTTTTCAGATTACATAAATCTCAAAAAGAGCCTCCTAGGTAAGCACATCCTGTCCAAAGCCACCTGCTGGTAGGGCAACAAGGTGTGTGTGAGTGTGAGTGTGTGAGCGGGAGAGACACACAGAGTGAGAGCACATGCAGGAGTTGTCTGTAATGGTAAATGAAAATAGCCTTAAATATACTCAAACCCCACTTCAGCAATGGCAAGTAACCTCTCCTGTTGCCTAAACTGCTCCTTTCTACTTAGCTTGCACTTTTGGAGTCTTCTTCCTGACTTCAGAGCCTTACAGCTCTGCATGAGAAGGACTCCCCTGCCTCTCCATCCTTGGAGGACATGATTTTCTGATGTACCTTTTAGAGATACCTTTGTTTAGCATGGCTGCTGGGGAAAAAGGAAAATTAAAAATCCTCCAAATGAAAGCACAATGTGATACTTCAGCATCTCTGATAAACCCACTTGCTTATGTTTTCACCTGTGTTATGGTCCTTAGCTATCCTATGTTTTAGTCCTTAAGAGGGCTGGCAGTGGTACCTACCGGCAGCAGGTGACAATCAGTGCAATGCCCATGAGCAGCAGCAGTCCCCCTCCTGCAGCTGCAATCACCACCGTGATGAGCTGGTACGCTGCAGATGGGAGAGACAGAGGCTGAGAAACAGCAGTGTGGTTTTAAACCCTAAACAAATCCACAGTCCCCATGCAAAGGGATTAGCTGTTTATCTCCCACCTTGCCCCCTCCCCACCCCATAAGCAATATAGCCTTAAGTTTTCAAATGAAATAGAAACAAGTTCTTCTTTCCTTAAGGAGTAGATTCCCTTCACTGATAGATCAGAGTAACTCAGATGGATTCACCTTCAAATTCTTGCCTCAAGAATGCCCATTTTATGTGCTGTCCTGACATACATACAAGGAAAGGAGATCTCCTTTCCTTAGGAGATAACATTAAGTCAGCTTTGTCAAAGAAGGTCCACAAAATAACTTTCAACTTAAAATGAAGAAAAAAAAAAAAAGCACTGGAAAAGTAGTGTGTACCTACTGCATTTTAGACACAGTCACTTGCAATTACTAGTTTCAAATCTCCTATTTCTGACACTGTAGAAAATAAAAGGAATGAAATTTGGTACTCACGGTTTCCACAGTTGAATCCACCCAAGCCAAAGGGGCAGCTGGGAAGAGAGAACAGGGAGATTCAGCAGCTCGGTTGTGCCAACAGGTCACCAGAGCAAGGACGGCGGGGTAGGAGGAGGACAGAACATACCTCACACAGGTCTCGTTTTCCAGCTTATATCCATCTTCACAGGCTGAAACCAGAGAGAAGGGCCGTGAGCACCGCGCAGTGGAGCCGGGAGGGATTTCCCAGCGCCGCTTCCCACGGCAGCCGCGCCTCCTGCACCCCCGGGACCCGAGCGCACACACGGCAGGAGCACCGTCAGCTCCCGTGGGGGCTGCACGGCCCCTGCTTCGGGGAAAACATCGTGCACCTAAATCCTCCTCCCGCTGGCTTCGATGCGACCATTGCAGGGCTTCCAAGCGGAGCCAGTTTGGAGCCTGGCACAGGGAAGGCCGCTGGCAATGCAATTCCCAGCAGAGCTGCTTCTTGCCCAAATGAAAACTCACTGCACGCTTGTACTGCTTCACACAAAACAGCAATGTTAAAAAGCTGCGAGTGCCTCCAGTTTTCAGTCTGAAAGCCCATTTAAACTCTGCTACTTTAGCATTGGTGCATGTCATCAATTACTTTCAAATGTTAGCACTGCAACAAGATGTTATGCAAACACAGTGTAACCCAAAGTGGTATGTCAAGGTTTTTTTCTCATGTCACCTTCTTTTCTGATCTTTCAAATTTGCAGCTAAATCATATTTTACTATACAGTAGAAATTTAATTTATTAGGTTTAAATAATCCAGAAAGCTGCTGTGTGCAAAATGTTGTGAAAAACTGAAACCATCACTTCAAAATAAAATAATTTCCATGCTTATGGACAGCTATCCTAAATTATCTGGGGAAATTATACTACCCTTCTGATGAACAGCAAAGGGGATGGGCACACACCTATAAGGTTTAAATTACTCATAAGATCACTTCTTCTCTCAGCAATAGCCCAGCAGAGCTCTGGCAGACGTGCTGCCTTTCACAGAGGCAGTGAAGGTGCTCACTCAAAGGCCTGGGCAGCAGTGACACAGACAGGGTCACTTTGGGCAGAGGGACAAGCCAGGGCCAGCACAGGCAGCAGCCCTTGGGGGTCTGCAAGACATCACCCGAGGGTCTGGAAAACCCCTGTAGCACATTCCACAGGGAATTGTTCAATGAAAACAAAAATGCTCATGGATTCCCCCCCTCCCCCAACCACTATTTGCTTAAAACTGTCACAAAATTTCCCTAAATTTAATTCCAGTTTCAGATCAAATAGTTGGACTGGAGCTACATTTTAGAGAAGCACCCAAGACTGATTTTAATATTTTCAGTTACAATCAACCACAGCACTGGGTCAGAAGCTCACAAACTTAATTTTCCTCAGCCATTAAAAACATTCACCTTCTTGCTGGTCTGAATTACCCCAGTGTCAAATTCCAGACTTTGGATGTTTACTTATTAGATTGGAAAAAGTTATATGATCAGATGTCTCCTTCTCACCACTAAATCACTCCTTTATTTTTAATAAAGCCAAGGCCACTGAGATCTTTCAGTCTCCCTAATTATTGCAGCTTTTCTCTGAACACTCACAGGCTCTCTTTGACCCTTTTGATTTCTAGTTCCCAGAAATATATATTGAAAGCCCAGGGATAACAAAATTTTCCTATCTTCTGCCTACCTGCCATCCTCAGATTGTGTGGACGCAGAAGAGTGCTGCACTCACATCACTTCTGTGGTCGTAGACACAGACTCACTGTAGGAACTGGCACCAGTGATATGGGGGGGGAGGCTGATGTCTACAATCCCTGGTCTTGCACACCTTTCTTTGCTCTATGTAGCCCCACAATTCCTTCACCACCTCCCTCATTCCATCTATTTCTCCAGAGCTGGTGATGGGGAAGGTGAAGCTCATTACACAGCCCCCCTGCTGCACCACACTGTGATGATTTTTGTACTAGCTATATTCTTCTCCCTCAAAGATGATCTTTTTGAAGGAAGAGACCAGAGGTTGACTGTGAAAGAGTTAAGAGCCTCAGTCAACAAACAGCCAGGGCAAGGATAGTAAATCCCAAAGGATCCAAGCTGCTGTGTCCCCACATATCCCAGCCCCAGCCCAACACCTGCACGTTGGGAAGGCCTGCAGGAGCAGGAAAACAGCTGCTGGAGCCCACCCTAAGCTCAGCCCTAGCCCAGTGATGTGTGTGAGGCACATGCACTTGAGCAGTTTCAAAGCTGGAGCTGTGCCACGGGCAGGAGCAGCCCTGGGACCTCGCTGGCACGCAGCTCTCAGGTCAGGAGCATATAGGAGCAGAAAAGAGGAAAAGCAAGATCCTGAATATGCATTTCTCTGTTTTACTTAAACACTTGGTGCTTATGTATTTTCCTCTCCTCCCTGTGTCTTTTCCTGCCACTTTGCTTTCTCCTTTGGCATCTTTCCTGCTCCTTTGAACACATTCCCAGGAGAGCTCTCACTGCCATACTCACTTGGCAAGATTCCAAGTAGGGAACAGAGGACAGGCCAAAGTGTCAGGGGCGAAGCAAAGCTATCAAGTTGTGCTCTTCAACCCAGGGTTCCTCTGCCTTTGCCTTCTCAAAAGACACTCAGGGGTCTCTTTGGAAACCTGCTTTGCTGCTCTTTACTTCACTCCAGAAACACTCTGTACTAGTAAAAATAGCATGCCCTTGAAAAGCAGGCACATCGGGTTTGTTGCTCTGTTACTGAAATAGCCCTGAAGATACTGAGAAGGTTGAAAATCAGCAGTGACCCAGAGACACTGAACAGCACAGCAAGAGGTGCCCTGGCCAACATGTGGGAGCTCCTGTGGCTCAGAGACCCAACCCTTCCCTGGCCCATGGCATGCTTTCCCAAGCATGTTCCTGAGGACAGATGCTACAAGGAGAACAGAACAAATCCTGTGGCTCAGGGCAGCCAATTCTCTCAACCTTCCCACGGGGGAGACCGGACAGGGCAGCACAATAGCCATTTCCCTCCTTGCAAATACTATAATTGGAGCTACTACACCACATTTTCACAGCCCACAATGAGGGTCGGATGCTCACGAGACCTCGGTTCCTGTTTAGGGACCAAAAGGGCAGAGATTTTCAAAGAGGCTGGTATATTGTATGCTATATTTATCAGCAAAATAGCCCTAAATATCAAAAGGAGGCCATAGCTTGGCTTTTGGAAAAGCCTTTAAAAATCCCAACCTCCTGGCTTGCCCAGATGGGCACAAGTGATAATGCAAACCTGGCATCTTGTCAGAGAGTGGCACCATGAAGTCAGTGCTTCCCTCATGCCTCTGCACCACAGCCTAAATCCAACATCAGCCCTGTCCCTCAGACACTCTCAAGCTGATCAGCAAGGTGTCTCCTACTGATAGCAGTGAGATGAAGATGGAATTGAGATCTCACTGTTTACAGATAAGGTTCTTATATTTTCCAAAAGGAAGCAAACAAGGTTCATAAGTGTGGAGGTCTCCATATGTCTGAGGTCTTAGACCCCTTAGCCCTCTGCAACCATCACATCCAAGTGCCTCACAGCCTTTCAGGAATTTTTCTTCACTGTTTGGCAAGAGACATGAACAAGACAAAAGAAGTAACTTTCCCTGGGCCTCCACTGTCCATGATGGAACAAGAATTGGGTAAAAACTTCCCAAGTTTCAACTCAGCTCCTCACTCACTACATAAGCCCCTCTCAGGTAGGTGGAGGTGCTCAATATTTCCCAAAAGAAATCCTTCCTTCAACATACCAGATGAAGGAGGGAGGGGAGGAGGAAGGAAGGGGAGAGAGGACAGGGGACAGGGGAGAGGGAAGGTTTTGTCACAAAGGAGCCACAGAGAGAAGGAGAGGCAGGGCCATGACCTGGCATGCAGAGATGCCCATCTCTGAGCTGTCCCTCCCAGAGTCTGTAGCACATGTGTTATTTCCAGGCACATTTTTCTCACTCTCAGATTTGGAACCAACAAAACATCTCCTCCTGTTTCAAGAGCAACCCAGCAGGCAGTGCCAGAAGCAATATATTTCCACTACTGCAATAGTTACTGATATGTCATCAGAAAACTGCATTTCTTAAGAAGCCTTACAGCAACCACAAACTAGGGAATGGATATCCTGATCCTCCAGAAGTCATTTTGAATGCTTGCATGTAAAGATTTTGTTTAAAATGCAGCAAAACCAGATTTGTTGATCCAGGGTGTAGCTAAAGAATAATGCAATCTTTAAGCTTAAAATTTCTATTTGGAACCCAGCTGAAAAATAAATACATAGTCATTTTCAGATACAATTTTTTAAAATACAGATGATGTATTAATATAAGCTTTTGAGTTTAAAGCACTTCCCCTAAGTTCACTGAGAGTTCAGACAAAATCAAAACAGGCAGACACACGTCATCTCTGCTGTGTGCAACTGAACTGGAGCCCAAAGCAGCCAGGCCCCTTTCTCCCTCTCCTCAATCACTGTGACTCACAGTATGCTCCAGAAAGAGATAATATTATTCCTAGAGAGAGACTGTGTCTTCAGTGTCTGCTGAAAAGCCCCCTAACTAAATAAAAGAAACTTGAGCTGCTAATATTTATTCATAATATTGAGGGTTTTGCATGCACAGCAATACATGCACACACTCATTTCCACTGGAACAAAAGCTTTGAGGAAAATTCAGGTAAAATACACTGCATAAAGAGCAATACCTCTGCAGGAGTGGTCCATCTTGTTGTATTTGAAGTACCCACTTTTGCACTGGCAGAGAGCGATTCCATCAAAGTCGGTGCATTCTGAAGTTTCCTTGTCACATTCAGGGTCTTTCTGTCTGCACAAGCTGCCAGCTGTTGGGAAGAGGTGGCCAACATCAGCGTGGTTCTCTCTGAACCCATCTTTAAGCACTTCTGCTTTACCTGGGCAGCCCATTCAGCTGATGTGCTGCTTTAATTTTTTTATTATTATTTTTTTGGTAATATTTTTTCCATTAGGAGGGAATCAACATTACGCTATATCACTGTTTCTTGTGTATCTACCATCATTTGTACAGGCAGATAGAGGGGGTGAATAATAAATGTTTCAGTTCAGAAGCAGAAGGGGAAATGAAAAAGAGAAATCTGGTTTGGCTCAAGCTCAAACACATTCATCCCCTGACACAGTTCAACAAATCAAATTTTAAGTTTATATCAAGCAAAACATTTTGCTTAGACCAAACCAATTCTTTTCCATTTCAGTATTAAGCACTGGATTTTGTCATTTTTCAAACAAAATTTTTTTACAAAAAATTTGTACTTTCATTTACATTACTTAGAAGCAGTGTTTTAATTCAGAAGGTCAGACTTGTAACAAAGAGCATTCAGCAAAACTGTGGATGGAAATTGTGACATCAAATTTATATTTTTTACTGGGAGGTCAGACTAAATGGAATGAATAAATATTAGTGAGAAATACGATTTTATGGAAAATATGTCACTCATTTGGCACTCTGCATTTATAAACCTCTCCTTGCTAGGTTTGTTGGTTTTTTTTTTTTTAATCTGACATCTTTTCTTCTAGGCACTTACACGAGAATATAATTTATTTCTTACTCTGCTTATTTCAAGTCAGGAGTTGACTTTACAGAGGCACTGTATCGGAGGAAATGGGTAGGTATAATCTGAGCAGGTTTACCCAAATAATTTAAAGCAATCCATGGGCAGAGTATGGCTTTAAAATACATCACACTGCAATAAAAGCACACACTAAACTTCTCATCTGCATGCTTACTTTGCCAAAATGATACAGGGGATTTCCCAATAAGCCCAGGCTAGGTGTTGCCACCCTTCATCCCCCTTGAGGCCAAACCTTAAAGCCTTGAACCCCAAAGTCACAAAATGCCATGTGCAGCAGTTTCCTTGCAGGAAACTCTTGCAGGGATCCTGAGGAACCTCTCACAGGTAAATCTCCTCTATCACTCCCTGAGGAAATGAGAACTGGGAGATGCCAGGGCACAGCATTGGAGTCCACCTGGAGAAGGTCACGCACAACAGGGGTGTCCTTCTCCACATCTTCCTGTGCTGTATCCACATTTCCCTTGGGCAGGCAGAGGATTCAGTACAGAAATCAAAAGGCCTTAATTGTGAACCATTTTACAACCTGCAACACTGAAACTGAGCAGGCAGGAGGGCAGAGCCCACCATGCAGCCTCCAGCAGCCCTAATCGAGTTCACTGGCAGGGTTTTGTCTCTTGGCTTTCACACCATTTCCCTGGCTCCTGGCAGTGTGTGTGAAATTAAGACTTACAGGTTTTTGATCTGGCTGGGCCCAGTGTCACATCCCAGAGATGAAAGGCAGCCCTACAATGTCTCTAATCCTGTGCTGCACAGTATTTTCACAGAGGCAGGATTCTCACACATGTGGCAAAGATAAGGCTTTGGTATCTGCATCCCTTTTGTGCTGGGAGGTTCTTAAGATGACTCCCATTTAAGTGAGATAAAAAGATTCAGATGGATTTTTCCAAATGACAGAAGGTTCTCCCCTTTTATAAAAGGAGCCAAATAAAACATCCCTTTCCTCTCCTGCCACAGTCCTTCCAGATGCTATTTACCTCTGTGGAGTGATTTCAGGCTGGAGATGAACTGGCAGGCTTCAGTGGGGGATTTGCAAGCTCGAATGTAGCTTTTCACACTGCCGATAACATCGAAGAAAGTCACGTTGGATGCTAAAGAGAACGTGGATTGCACTGAAACATGCACAAAATTTGCCTCCCTAACAAAAAACAAGACAAAACAAAACAGCCCTGAGTATCACAGGTCAGTCTGATGTCATCATTAGCACCTTATACATGGGACTGCTATTAACACAAGAGACGCTTATCACAGACACAGCACTACACACACACACTGCAAGAGCCGCTCACTGCAACAGACCTTAAGACCAGGACTAACCAATACACAGAGAGGAGAATATGGAGCTGGAAGGGATGCTGGTAGCTCACTTTGGAACCAGCCATAAATCCCTCCTGGGCAGCCCATCCCCAAGCTGCTCAGGTCAGGAGGAGAGTACCAGGTGAGCCTGGGCAGCTTGTCAGGCCTTCCTCTCGCCCTGTACCACTGCCAGCTGCATTGTATCAAGCCCAACACTGACTCAAAATGGAGAGTGTGGATCTCAAGTTGAAGATCTCAAATGCTCAAGTTTCTCATTCTTCCCCTAGGAGCCTTAACCTTACCTGCTTGCCTTAACTGTGGAGTGGTGGTATCCTGGCAAGCCTGACAGCGATGCATTGAGCTGCAAGGAGGGAGAGAGCAGCTGTTAGTGCCCCAGGGGATGATGGAAGGAGGCAGCCCCATGGGATGTAGCAGGGGACAGTCCTCCTGGGTCAGTCACACCATCCCCTGTATTTCCCAGAGATGCCTGCTGAGCCCAAGGGGGCTCTGAGCACCCCAGAAGTTCATCTGCTCTGTAAGAGAGATTCACTGCTCTGTTGCCAGTAAGAGGTGGACAAAGTCACCATTGCACAGCCTTGGACCAGAACTAAGCCCCGGGGATTTTGACATGAGCATCTGCCTGTGGCCCTGCTGTGTAATGACCACAAAGAGCAGGGATGAGCCAGATGACAGCAGGGAGAGAGCCCATGCAAGGCCGACCTCAAAGCAGCACCCTCGGAGATTGCAGATCTTCCCTGACCCTGGATCTGTGCAGTTGTTTGTGTTTACTCCCCAGCACAAGCTGTGCAGGCAGCATCACAGTGACTCCACCCAGCACCCCCTTCCTTTGGCAGCATCCCCCAGTCACCTGCTCCAAAGAGCTGGAATGAAGTGCACCCAGCCCAGGAACCACTAACAGGATGAACTTGTGCATGCAGTGATCTGGATAAGAACTGCACAGGGATGTACCTACCCCCAGCCCATGGGTCTTTTTGGACCTATTGATGCCACAGCCCATGGGGAAGCCAACAGCCTGTCCAGCACTAGCTCTCAGCTGACCAAGAGCCACATGGCTACAACTGAATGGCTGCGAAATGTGGCAGCCATAAGAGAAGTGAAGGGGACTTGTCCCATCAGCACTGCCAAAGCCCCAGCAAGGACACTTACCATCTCCAGAATCTCCCTCTCAATGTGGAAGAGCTCTGTGTACTTCCCATGGGTGATATTAAGCTTCAGGGGAACCTGGCCAATAAATACTCTCACTAAAAAGAAGAATAAGACAAGTTAGTTGGAACACATCTTTGTGCCACGCATAGATGTGCTTTCATCTGCTTTACATGAGGGGCTGTTTGCATGGAAAATCCCTTTACAAGGCATACAGAAAATTTAGATCTGAGAGTCATTGCCCCAGTAAAGCAAAGCCACAGCCTTGGGTTTTTTTCACAAGGGTTGCTGCAATGTTCCCACAGTCCCAGTCAAATTCCAGAGCTCAGTGCTGCTGAACAGACAGCATTTCACTTCTGTGTTCATACATTTCATGCAGAAGCACAGACTAATTTAAATAGATCCAGAGATGGGTAAATTTAGTAAGAAGACAGTGTCAGGTAGCAAAGCTATTTATGATAATTTGGGGTAAACATGTCAAATCTCTTACTCCTCCCTGCAATGGAAGGAAATCAAATCAGCAAGTCAAAAGAAAGCACTGTAGAAGGGACATTTTCATTTTTTAAACTGCTGGAGAGAATGAGCAATGACATTTGAAAAGAGGTCCAAAAGATGCATTTTTCTGTGCTTAGATTCATATTTGATTCACAGCAACAGAATGCAATAATCTGAGTTGTCCAGACTTGCAGAGATAATACCCCTAAATCTTGTATTAAGTGTCATGAGATACTCAGTGGAAATGAGAACTCAGAACTCCAGCTTTATGTTCCACCAGAAAAACAAATACAGTTGCAGATAACATTATAAAGTCTCCAATTCTTTCCCATCCACTCAACCTATCTTCACCACAAATCATATATCACACATCACTAATGTAACAACTTCAGGCAAAAATTATGATGAGAATCACCTTCACAGTGTTTATATAATCTGCCCACATCCCAGTTCAAGGCATAATCAAAACAAGTCTCTAAATTAGAAGCTGACATATCCCAACTCGAAAAAATGTTTCAAAACACTCTTCAGGGACACCTTACCCATGTTTCCTTAGCAAAATTTCCATGCCTCTAATCCTCATTGATTAAGGGTCAGAAGAAAATCCATGAAAACAAATTCCCCTTTACAATGGGATATTGTAAGTCTTTGAGACTGAGAGTCCTCTAACAAAAAGGAAGGGGTCAGAACCTGAGTTCCAGCTAATAACTGTGCTGCTCAAAAAATGCTAAAGGTATGAAACAAGACCCTGATCCTACAAAGACTTTCACGGCTGCTTAACTTTCCACACATGGCTGATCCCACTGAAGCCAGGTTACACAACGGCCCCACTCACTTCTCCCAAGCCAAGCGCCTTCACAGGAGTCTGCAGGGCTGATAAGCTGCTGGATGCTTTTTGGGAGTTCTAAAGCACATCAGGAACAGAAGGGGCACATCTGTCCTTACTACCAAGCCTGAGCCCACCTCTGCATTGCTGCATTTTCAAGAAGCACTCAGATATCTCTGCCTGCTCCCCAGGCAGCCCAACACAACAGGCATTAGACATCACACTTGTATAAACACTAAAAGGCTCCGATAAAAGTGGTGGTTGGGAGGAACATCAAGCTCCTGAACTCGTTTGAGCCTAAGTCAATTTATTTTAGAAGATTAAAGATAATTATTTCCATGCCTGGTTTTTCACTTTTGTTTTCTTACCTAAATTGCACTTTCCTTTTTCCAGCTCATATCCAAGAGGACACTGACAGATATAGGAGCCATGGGTGTTGTTGCAGGTGGCCAGCGCAGGACAGGGGTTGGAAAGACATTTATCCACCTCTATAAAAACAAAAAAAGAAAAACAAACAAAAAAACCCCCAGATTATACTTACAGAATCATAAAAATCATCAACTGTTGGGCTAAAAGAGATGAACTTGGCTCCCCATCTGTGACTCCTTGAGCATTATCAGATGCTTCACTGCATCATTTGCACTTACTATTTATGCTGATCCTAATTATTCTGTTGGAGCTGAAAGAATAAATATAAACCACTTGAATATTCATTCACAAACCCTTGGGGTCCAGCATGGATCCATGTTAATATGAACATCCAACTGATCTACAGCACTGCCCCTCAAAAGATCTCAGGGTACTTTCCAGAGACAAACAACCCAACAGTTTATGCATGAGAATCCCTAAGAAGGAACCTCAACAGCCCAAGCTAGACATGTGAGCATGGACTGCTTCACCAAAGTCCTGCCCTTTTCATCCAAGCCCTGTTTCTCTGCTCCAAAGGTAGTGTTTGAGCACTGATCCAGTCTGTAGATTACCCAGTAATGGTGAAGGCAGCCCTGGCTGCAGTCACCTCCTTTTTCCAGAGCTCCTCCGTGCCAGGCTGGGGATGGTCACGGCAGTGATTCCTGCCTGTGCCATCACTCACAGGGCCCTTCCTGCTGGGTGCCAAGAGCTTGGGGAGCTGACACCACTGAGATAATATGGTGTTTCAGGGGATTAAGGACTGTAATCTCAGATGCTTCACTGATTACACAACTCCAACTGCAAATTCTGAAGAATATATCCAATATTTCCTCTTAAAAAAAGGAAAAAAGATGTCCTGGTCAAAAAAACTCCACTTGCTGCATCTCTGATTCACATGAGCACAAACACACATCACACACACCCACAAGGGCAGACCACAGGCAGGGCTGTGGACTTGTCAGTGTCAAGGCTCTATGAGATTAGCAAGATATTTTACACACCATATACACCTGTCCTGTGGCTGCTGCTGAGTGCTGCAGCAGAGGCAGGAAGGACAGGCTCTGTGGTTAAAGCACCAAGCACAAGAGCCAAAGCCATGTGAGCATTTCTGGTGGCACTGCAATACCCCATGGCAGCACACAGACCTGACAGCCCCGAGCCAAACTCTGCACTGGCATATGCCACTTGATGCAATCTCATGCCTGGGCTAGCCTGGCACGGCTACCTCAGCACCAGTGAGAAGCAGATTTGGTGACTCTAATCTATGCAGCCAGAAATGAGTGGGTATGATTTAAAACCATGGCTTTCACTTTGCCATCCTTCACTTTGTGCTTCAAACAGCACAGACCAGGGCAGCTTCTCTCAGGGCAGTGATTACCCATGTACAAACCACCATGTCCAAGACCACAGAAGGATCTTTTGCATTCTGGTAAATGGTAAATCTCAGTTTTCAAAGGAAAGAATATTTTGGCAAAAGTGTGAAGCAGCTGATAAACAGGATACATTATCTTCATTTTTCAATTAAAAAAATTCATTCCAGTAAAGTGATTTCTTTTTTGCATGAAGCAATAGCTATAACTAAAACAAATCAGCCTGAGAAGTAACCTTTAAATACTTAATTGTTGGATGGAATATATATTATTGCAAATATTTCACTGAGATTAATGCCTTTAGCACACACAATATCCTACAGTGGCATGATAGCTGGGCTCTGAACTTCAAACACAAAGCCAATTTCCTTTCATATAAGACTTCAGCAAATGTATTTACTTGAGAAGATAAGGAGACTGGCAGTGGTAATAAATTACTGTAACACACTCAGCAAGACTATGGTACATAGCCTACCAGAAGAGGCATCAGGCCCCTAAGTAGAAGATTAATATTTAGTGAGATGGGGAGAAAACAGGCTGTGATATGAGAAGCAGTTTCAACACAAATGCCAAGTGCTGGCCAAGTGTACTTTCTCACTAATAAGGCAGGTATCAATTATTATTGATTGTTAACCTATCAACAAATATAAAGTGCATTCTGTGTTTACCTGTAAGGCAAAGAAGCTTTATTTTCTTGAAACTGTCAAATGTCAGCCGAATCTTTCTATCAGAAATGTTCACCAAAGTGCTCACCCTTATTTCAGCCATTCAACTTGATTGCTAAACCCTTAGCTTAAAAAAACCAACAGAGATGAGTTACTGCCCTCAAACCCTGCTGACAACAGACTTGTCATACATACACGCACACACAACTCTTTGGAAACTCTTAAAGTGGGACCCAGGTATTCCTGCCCTGCTTGTTCCTGGCCCCACCACTGGTGAGAGCCATTGTTCACATTACCTGTTGCTGGAGGTGACGTCCTCAGCCCTGCCGTGCTGCTCGACGGAGGAACAGTGGTTGGTTTGGTAACAGCCAAAGTAGTTGCAATGCTCAAAGTGGTCTTGGTGGTTGGAGTGGCTTCAGAAGGACTCAAAACATGGAGGTTTTCCTCAGTGACTTTACCAGGCTCTGAAGTGGTGGGATCCACTGCTTCTGTGCTTTTACCAGTGGTATAGCTGTGCTTGGTGGCAGGGGGTGTCTGGGCCCTGTGGTCCTTCACGGTGCTGGTCTCATCTGGGGTGGGCCGGCGACCAGCCGGCGTTGTCAGCACAGGAGGTTTCACTGTGGTCACAGCCACTGCAGGGACAATGCTGCTGTGATTTGTCGCAGTTGGTGAGGGACTGAGGGATGTGTCTGTTGGACCAGCCTGTGGAACAACACTGGCTGTGGTGGGCAGAGGTGTTGCCTTCCCAAAGCTGTCCCTTTGGGTGGTGGCATCTCCAGGCAAGGCAGTCTCTATTATCGTCACGGGAGAGGACACAGACACGATGCGTCCACCGAGCAGCTCCATGGGTGCTGTAGGGAGAGGTGACCTGGTGGGAGTGAAAGTGGTGCTCTTTTGGGGGTGGTGTGTGACACTGGGCTTGTTGGTCTCTCTGGGTGAGCTCCTGGCTGTGGTGGCTGTGGAGGGCACCTGCCTGACCACACTCATAGCCAGAGTGGTGCTTGCTTGATCACTCTCGCTGGACTGCGAGATGGATGAGGGTGATGAAAACACAGGCAATAAAGATGCTAATGAGTGAGATGGGGAGGGCAAGGAGGAAGTGGGCAAGGAGGATGACAAAGGCTGCAGAGGGGGCGAAGATGCCATCACAGAGGGCGAGCGTGGCTCAGGTGATTCTGACAGTGTAAACAGATGAGTTGGTGGTGGTGTTGATGACAGCGAGTGCTGCAGTGTTGACAGGGAGGAAGAGGCTGGAAATGCTGATGAAGACAGAGATGATCCATCAGTGGTCAACAACTCAGAGTCAGTGCTGAACAGAGTTGTGTTTTCTATGCTGCCCATAGAATCAGATGTTGATGGTTTGGAAGGGTGCACCAGCAACGGCTCCGTAGATGGTTCAACAAAACTGCTGCTGTTTGATGCATTGGTCTGCCTGTCATGAACCACAGAGGATTGTGAAGCATCAAAAGGGCTGGAAATTTCAGAAAAAGAGGTGGAACTTTCAGAGGAATCAGCAGAGGTGCTGCTGTTGGAGATAGACAGCAGGGTCCTTTCTCCTCCTCTGGTATACGTGGTTGAAATGTATGTGCCGTCTGTGTGAGAAACCGAGGTCCTTTTCTCAGCATCGATGCTACTGAGTGGCTGACCACTACCTGAAAGGTCTGGAGTAAAAGGACAAAAAATAGTAGAAAGACAGAGTAATATGAAAGCATTTTGAAGTTATATTAAAACTGCTTGCTAAATAAGATGTTCTTGTCTGTGAACCTGTCCATGATTTTCTAAAAATTTCAAGCACCATTCAAGCGTGGTTAGGGGATTAGGAGTCTTATGCACTCCTTAATTGATTCTAAAATGGTGAACCCTGACAGACACAAGACTCCCACTAAATGTGTAGGTTTCCAAATCACTTCTTCACATACTGCTTTTCTAAAGTGATCGAGCTCTTAGCATTCTGTGATATTTGTGGTAAGCTAAGCAGGAAAACCCAATTCTTCTTTTTATCACTCGTTGTTTAAAAAACTCATATCCTCTCCCTCTTTCCTCCATTCCCATCTACAGAATATCCATCTTGTTCAGTCAATTTCTTTAGACACGGTGAACTTCATGCCTCTGCAGGATGAAATTATTATATTATGTTAATTTGCAGCTTATCCTGAACCCAGTGATTCAAAACTTTGCAGCCAGGAAAACCTAAATGAACAGCACATCAGCCTGCAAAAAATTCAGATTATTTAGCATAAAAGGTGCAATCAATCTTATAATACCAATTTCAGAATGTACAGCTAAGTTCAACCAACTTTAAAAAAATAAAAAATAGTATTGAAAATTTGTTTTAATTCTACAACTGACTTAGGTCATCCCAAAAATCTTCCGAAAGCATCACCCAAAATAAACCAGTTAGGACACAAAAAAAAGTGATGCAGCCATCAAAACAGGAGTGTTTATGGCTCCATTTCTGGAATAGTTCCCCATCTGTGTGGGGTCTAGTTTTGAGTCCTTTGATGGAAACATCCCCCTGAGTGAACCCACAGGTGGTATTGAATGGAGTAACGAACGATAACTTTATGTACACCATACTGAAAAACAGGACAATGTGAATTCCCCCCAGATGTACTCCAGGAAACATCAACTTACTTGTGAGATCATTTTGGAAAGAAGAGTAAGTGGGTATCTTGGCAGAACGTACGAAGACCGTCTCCGTGGCAAAGCCCGTGAAAGCCCCGCTGCTGGTGGAGGCGTTGGCTGGCCTGCCCTGCTCCACCAGCGCTGGCTCAGATGGCCCTGGAGGGCTGGAAGCTTCAGCATGGACAGAAGAGCTCTCCATGACACCAGCCAATGTGCCATCTGTCACTGGGTGCAGCATCCTCTCCTCAGCACCCGTGGACGTGGATGAGCTGTACATGGGATCAGTGACGGGGCTGGACATCCTCTTCTCAGCACTTGAGCTGCTTAGGGAGCGATGGCTGCTGCCACGAGCTGGAAAAGGATCGAAAAGCAGGTATCTGATTTTATCACCTCCCAGCAGACAGGACTGTCCAAATACTGAGGAATCAGTACCATTAGAATATGGGATGTTTATGTTATTTATAATTATCACCCCAACCCAGCAGACAGTCAGTGTGTCCTACAGCAACAAGCTACAAGTTTCAAGAATGAGACCTTTCTTGTTAAGCACCAGCAGCTGCAGATATACAGAACCACTGTGCAGAACCACAACCATTTATAAATGCTGCCCATGACACCTGCAACAGCTGTGTCATATTAACCCAGAGGAGAGGAAGGGAGAGGCAGTCAAATGCTACCCCAGAGTTCAGAAAAACTCACTGGAAGGTTCAGCAGCAGCTGAGAAGTAGGTGAAGACCCTGGATGAAAGGGTGCCCTTGGGCTCTGGAGACCCTGTTCGGCCAGATGACACATGTGTCACTCGAGGCCATGCCGTGGAGGACAGGACAGGGCCGGTGTGGATGTCCCCAGCTGTGTCAGGCTGAGATGTGAGGCTTTCTGCTTTTGTGCTCCACATGCTGCGGCTACCTGGGGCTTGGGATGTCCCTTCCTTGTGGATGAAAAGTGTGGCTGAAGGTGAAGGCACTGAAATGCTGGGAGAAAATGCAGGCAGCAGCTTTGTTGGAAGCTCCCCGAGTCTAGTACTGCTCTGTGAAACATTACTCTTCTTCCCAGGCTGTGCTGCTGCTGAGGACAGCAGGACTGTGTCCAGGGCACTGGTGTAGGGGGGAGAGGGAGAGGAGCTCCCTGTGGCACTGGAAGCTCCACGGGTGTCCAACACAGGCACTGTGCTGCTCTCCTCGCTGGCGGTAGCTGTCACCACACTGGCTGTGCTGGTGAGAGGCAGGTGTCCTCCCCTTGCTGAGGTCTTGTCTGCTGAGAAAGAGCAAAGCAAAATGATTTGTGCAGCCTACATTATGAATAAGGAGGTGTTCTCTCTTCCATCACCAACCTCAGGCTGAGGGCACAGAGAGAACATGGCAGAAAACCCAATCCTGTGGAAAATTCTAGCTGTGAAGGCACAGCTCTCTCCTGTGCTAGGAGGTGCTGCTCACAGCAGAGCACCCTGGACAAGGCACTAGGAACAAGTTATGGAAACACTCTAGGGTTTGCTTTCCTTCGGGGCTGCCCCTGGTGCCACAGGCCTGACCTGGGCACCAGACACTCACACTGTCACCTCTGCACCCACAGTGAGTGATGGGGAGGTTACACAGCACCCAGATCTCTGGTACTTGAAATAAAGCATGGCAGGTTTGTATGGGATCAGTAAATACTGCCTTTGCACCCCAGGGTGGGAGTCAGGAATAACTGCTTTTGCTTCTGCCAGTATAAACATAGCAAATGGAGCAGTCTTGAAGTGGTGCTGTTCCTGAAAACACAGCAAATCTTGAGGGCACAAAATTTTCATCCATAATGTCCAATGCCATCATTCAGCACTTTCTAGCACGCCCTCACTCTCCATGCAGGTGGGTGTCTGATGTGTGGCCAGAGCTCACCTGGGGAAGTGCTTTCTGAAGCCGACGGAGAGCCTGTGAACCATGGGTTCAGGGTGGCACCTCTGCCACCACCATCCTGGGTTCCCAAAAAATGGGAATGGCCTGGAGAGGTGATGTTTTCAGCACCAGTGGTGGAAATCTCTGTTGTTTGGGCCAGTGTGGTGCTGGCTGGCAGAGACCTTAATGTCCTCCCTCCACCCTTGGTGCCTGTTGTGGAAACGGAGGTGCTGGTGGTGAGGAAATTGGTTCTTCTCTCTGTTGACAGGATGCTGAATGACACATGGCTGCTTCCAGTAGCTAAAATGTGGTAAAGAAACAAGTTACATTTTTACACATATGAAATTATAAATAAAAATGAGCTTTCTTCCAATAGCACCCAGAGGCAGCGAGTACACAAACACAAGTAGAAAATATGAGAAGATATCAATTTCCAAATATGTAAATTCTTCCTGCAAAAATTTGTCTTCTAAAAAACAGCGTGACGCTGACAAAAGTGCTATTATATAAAAACTGTTGAAATACTAATGCTGTGCACTTGATTTCACCATTATGTGCCTGAGTGCACTCCATGCTGCTAGAACAAATATCGTGACGACCCAGAAAAGCCTGGAAATCAGTTCAGACAAAGCACTACCCTGAGCAGTGTGAAGGTCTTAGAAAAGTCTGAAGAGACAGGATCAGGGGAACAGACCCCTTCAGAACCACAGTGGGGACTGTGATGAAACAGCAGCATGAAGGACCTCAGAAACCACATTCAAAGTTGCCTGAAATTTGTTGAGCTGCTTCAAATTCTGGGAAGCAGCATGATCCAAGAAGTAGGACAGAAGGTAGGAACTGAAGTCTGATCCCTGGGACCACAGGGACATGATCTAATCCTCACTTGCTTAGTTCTCTTGTCTGTAACATGGAGATAGCAACTGGAGATAGTAAAAAAAGGACTGTGATTTGAAAGTTAATTATTTTTCTTGGCATAATGAGACTTTCCACACACGTGCCCTTTCTGTAAAAAAACTAAAGTACATTTTTTTTGATCAAGAAAGAGCTGAATAATTTCAGACACAAAATCACACTGTATCCTTCCAAACAGTATATTCTACATAGCAGGAAAGAGTCAGGTAAGTGCAAGCTACAGGAATTCCTCCTTTGGCATGTGAGAAAAATGGTATTTCAGTTCTAACGTGAGCTTACCTGGGGAAGGACCTTCCGAAGGAGGGCGAGAGCGTGTTAGGGAAGGGTCTTCCACCTCAGTGAAATCTGTCATTCCTGTGGACCCCTGAGCTCTGGAGGTCTCTCTCACATAAGATGTGGACAAGGACTGGGTTGTGCCCAAGGTGCTGTGCATGGCACTGCTGGACGTGGAGCCCTTGGCTGCTGTCCAGCGGCTGCTGCCCGAGGCAGACCTGGCTGGCCTCCCACCACTGCTGGATGTGGCTGAAATGGGAGTGTTGGTGGCAGAGGAAGTGAGGGAGGCTTTCTCAGCCACTGGTCTGTGGCTGCTTCTGACACCTAGGATACAATAAAACCAGGTTTGATCTATGCATACAGAGCTACACATATGACTGTGTGCTCAGCACCCATTTCTGTGCTGCTCATTGAGAAACTGAAGAGGTGAATCTCTTAAGTACAGGCACATATGCCTTACAAAAAGCCATGAAAAATCTCAAACCCACGTCCTACAGACCAGCCTGCATGGCAGATATAGCACCTGGTGACAGCTGCAAAACCCCAGCAAGCATCTCTGGCAGGGAAATTGTGTGCAGTATTTCTTACCAATGTTCTTCCCAGGACAGGAGTTTCATTAGTAATGAGGCCACCGACGATTTCCACTTTTTCACCCAAAAGCTGAGCTCCACTCTACCCCTTCTCACCCACCCCACTGCCAGCTCAGTGCAGCCAGCAATAAAAGCATCCATGTATCCAATAATGACTGATGACCATATCTGAAGAAAAACAGGGCATGGATGTGAAATCTCACCCAGCCCAAGGCAGACAGCTTTCAGACTAACAAATTTACCTTGGAAAGGACCTTCAGAGGCAGAGAGGGAGCTTGTGAGCAAAGGACCCCCAGGAGGGCTCGAGAGATCGGTGGCTTCCTGTGAGCTGTTGGGATGATGTGTCCCAGTTCTCCAGGAAGAGGAGGTCCCACCCAAAGAGCTTGTGGGGTTGGTGCTGGTGGCAGAGTCCCTTGTCATCCCAGATGTGTGGCCACTCTCTGGGGACATCAGTGTCCCCACTGCCATGCTGGACATGTCTGCACCCTGGATGTCCAAGTGCAGCGGCGCCTCTTCGGCACCTGGGATGCTCTTGGGGGGTTCATAATTGCTGCTTAAAGCTGAAAAAGGAGAAGAGAAAGGCAAAACTTCATAAACATAAATAAAAACTGCTGGGTAGGTTTAGCCCCACTATCAGTAGATGTAGACAATGTATGTGTGAATATTCAATAGGGAAATATTTAATACTGGGAAATCATTAAGAAAGGGGGGAAAAGTGGTCTCTAAATAGGAACTGCTGAAGTTATTGCTTGCAAAATTCAACTGGAAATTTTCAAGGAAAATCTATCCTCCCCTTCCAACAAGAATAATATTTATCCATACTTTCATTTCTGTGAAATGCTTTTAAATGTACAGAATGTGCCAAATACAATATTATTCCTCCTTTCTTTAAAATAAAAAGGATGTATTTTGTTAATAGAGAGTCTTTAAATAAGAGTTCTGAGGTATACAGCTATCTATCAAAACTCACTTGCAGAAGCACTTTCTGAAGCAGACGGCAAGCCTGTGAGCAATGGGTCTGTGACACCTCTGCCTGCATCACCCTGGGCACTCACAGACATCCCAGGGGTCTGGCTCTGGGCTGAAGAGCTGGTGATTTCAGTCCCAGAGGTGGAAATCTCTGCCATGGTGACCAGCCTGGTGCTGGCTGGCAGAGACCTTAATGTCCTCCCTCCACCCTTGGTGGCTGTTGTGGGAATGGAGGTGCCGGTGGTGGGGAAATCCGAACCAAACCTCTCCGTAGCTGAGTTGTTGGATGGCTGGTAGCTGCTTCCAATGGCTATGGTACAATAAAAAAAATGGATTTATACATATGAAATTATAAACAGATGGATCCATTTTCTTCCCAGATGCTTATGGCGCACATACAGATATTAAGCATAGGAAGTTTTCAATCTGGACAAAGTGCTCTTTTGGAAAGGCATGACTCCCCTCACCGCAGGAAGACCTTGCACAAAACCCAGGGCTTGCTGCCAGGCTTTGTGAGAGTGGCGTGGCCCAGACAGCAGGAAACCCCACAGGACAAGGTCTGCGGGGATTTGCTTTAAATCCCACCTTTGCTCTAATATTGCTGGAAATAGATGACTCGGGCTTTTTTTTTGGTATTTTTTTGGTCTTTTGGTTTGGTTTTTTTTGTGGCTTGAGCACAGCATCAAGCAGCAAAGGGAGGAAACATAAGCACAGCCACATTCCCATATATGAGCCTGCAGCTCACTACACATCCCGGGGCTGAGCGGGGCACTGTCCTCTGGATATTGGATCTCAGGTTTCCTGCAGCCCCTGTGGTGCTCCCAAGAGCTGTGACAGAGGGAAGGGATGTGCCAGTGTGAGAGCCCTGGAGATGTGTTTGCTCCTGAAAAGACCTGGAGACAGGATGAGGATTTGGCAACACTGAGGTTTTCAGTATTCATGTGGAGCTGGGCAAAGTCTGTTTTTGGGAACTCCAGAAATTGGCTGCTGCAGAGAAAGCAAGGGGAAGCCATGGAGCCCAGAGATCTCAGTTTTGCTGCCCTGAGCAAGCTGCTAAGCACAGGCATCTCACCCTGTCTAGCTGAGGGCAAACCCATGTGGCCACAAGTGTGGGTTCCCAACCTTCCACCCCACCCCATCACCACTTGGGCACAGGTCAGATGGGGCTCAGAGCTGCCCTTGCTCTGCAGCTGGCACTGGCCCAGTGAAGATACTTCACAGCTGCAGACATCCACCCTGCAGAAAACACTGTGATAACATCCAAAGAACTTTGCATTTTTTTAAGTGGAAAATGCTGGGGGGGTTGGATCAAATTATTTTTTCCATTGCTTTTTCCTGCTTTCAGCAGGGAATTTCAGCTAACCATCCAAATAATAAAAAACAGAGCACATGCAAGCAAAACAGACCATCTCCTCTGCTTCAAGAAAACAAATACTATAAAATGGCTTTATAAAGTTATGAAACAAAGGCCAGCAAAGCTCACCTCTGAAAGTGCTGTCCTTGGGAGGTGATGCTGTCAGCAAAGGGCTGGTGGAGGTCCCAGTGACACCCTGGGAGGAGACCTGGGGCTGTCCCAGGGAGGCAGGGAGGGCAGTGCTGGGGCTGTTCCCCAAGGGGCTAGGTGAAGCAGCTGCAGTGCCCATGGCAGGGCTGCTGCCCAGCTCTGTGCCCACCCAGCTGCTCACTGGTTGAGAGAGGCTGTCAGGGCCTGCAAGGCAATGGGGGAAAGCAGATGAGAGCTCTGAGATGGGCTTAGCTGCCCGCACACCATTCCACACTGCCGTGCTTCCCCTGCCCCTCAGCACCCCTGTCTGTACTGTGCCTACAGAAACTTTGTGTCTGGAAGCTGCACCACATAATTCATAATTATGAGCACCAGGAGAAGCCATATGGATTCTTCTCTCCATCCTTGCACACAAAGCAAGCCAGAAAACTACCCTGTGTGCACGGTGAGGATGAAGAGCTGGATCCACAAGGATCTACAACACAGGGGAACCAGGCTTAACCAATGCTGGCTGCTATGGGGAACAGCATTCACCTCATTCCCAGGTGTTGGAACACTTTGCCAGTGTTCCTAGGCTGAACTGGGATGGCTCACCTGGGTGATGAGATTGTGAAGATGAAGTTTGCAGCAGTGCCCTCACAGTGTTGTTAAACCCTGACACATTCCAGGCCCCATGGTGCCCTCCCTGCGTCCCCTCAGCCGGATCAGTGCCGATGGTTTCTGAGCCTGGTGCTGTCCCTTCAGCAGCTGCAGGGGTGCTGGGAGAGGCCAGAGCCCTCTTGCCTCTCCTCTGCCTGCCTGCAGCATGGTGATGGCTTCCAGAGTCTGGAAAGCAACAAGGAGAGACCCATGTTCACCTGGAAAAGTTCTTCTGTCTCAGCTGGGTGGCAGCAGCATCACCTGCAGTGGTACCCAGCCCTACCACATGCAACAGGAAGGGTCACAGCTGCATCCCTCATGTTTCCTCTGTTTAACAGAGCACAATTTAACTGCAGGAGGGATTGATGGGAACAGAGGGTTTCTGTCGCCAAAAAATAATGGCACTTTAAACACTGTCTTCATTTGTGCATGGCAAAAGAAACAGATTTTTTTAGAGACATTAAAAATGCAGAAGGCAGTAAGGAGAGGGTGCCAGAACAGCCCACAGCTGGCAGCCTGGGCATGCCAACTCCATATTCTAGTCCCTAAGCAGAAAAAGAACAAGGAATCAAAAAAATTAAAGAAAACCTCTACTCTTATATAATTTCAGCTGGGGATATTAAGAAATAAACTGAGCTGGGGACAGGACAAGGAGCACAGATTTGTCTTGCTGCTGTGAGAAACAGGCCTTGATTTAAGTTCATGTTTAAAAGAGTACACTGGTTTACTTATGGCTGAAGATTATGAACAAGCCCAAAAGTAAGTATTCACTTGCAGAATTTTCATGTAAGGACCTCACCACAAATCATCATCACAGCTGGTCAGGGATCCTTAAGCCGAGTTCTTATAACCTAGGCTGGGCTTGTGATGGGGTTCAGTTCCTGCTGGGAGGAGGTGTGGGGATGCCTGGGGGTCCCTGTTCTTTGCACAGCCCCTGAGCTCAGTGGGTGGGCAGGACTCCCTGGGTACTGCTGTGTGGTGAAAAACAGTGGCAGCTCCTGAGAATCATCTTTGTTGTAATGTTAAAAAACAAAGCCCAGCTTTTCTAAGATTGGATTTCTCTCAAAAATCTGCATTTCTAGCTGTGGGGCAGGAATACTTCCCAACCCACCAGCTATGCTCAGTCTATGGGCTGAGAACAGCTAACAGGGACTCCCACACCCATGAAACTCACCAGGAGGATGGCTGTGGGTGAGCAGGTGGGTCACTGTCCCAGCAGAAGGGTTCTCTGCGGATCCTGCTCCTGGAAGGGTGACATCCCCATCACTGGCAGGGGGACCAGTGTGCCCCTTGCCCCTGCTTGCTGCTGGCACTGCCCCGTGCCACTCCCTGCTCCCAGCCAGCATCGTCACCAGCTCCACGGGGGCACCAGGGGTCCTTATCTCCGTGCTTGAACTTCTCTCCTGATGGCTGTTTTCAATGACTAAAAGGAAAGACAAGAAAAAAACTTAGATCCCATCAGCACTGATGTGCAGGCTCAGCTCACTGCAGTAACACCAAGGCCAAGCTCTGAGCTCATTTACTTACACTAGAGAAAAACTTTGCATAATCAAAACACAGACATGAAATTTATTTTTGGATTTGCACCAGTGGAAACTAGATTGGTCTGAGGGACCAAATACCAAAACCCACCTCAGTGCAAAAGACTAATTCAATTCAGCACCCTCAGGATTATTTTGTGTTAGGAGAAATAAATTTTGAAAGGAGCAAAAAGAAAGTCTAAAACAAATAACTGATTGAAATACTCACAGTGTAGAGTCCATGGGAGGAGTGTGAAGATCTCTGGAGCTGACAGCCCAGCACATCCCTCATGCCCCATTCTGAATATAAGATGGGAGGGCCCCACAGCTCTTCCCCTCTCTCCACTTGTCCAGTGCTTGCTGGACACCTGACCTCAAACCCCATCACCTCCAGAGAGCTGGCATGAAGCTGGCTGAGAACTGCAGGTCAGTCAGGAGGGTCAGTACAACCCATCCAGCCACCATGAGGCACTGGGGATAAAGATCAGTATATGGTGTGGATTATACGGCCCTTCCAGGTGCCAAAGTACCCCAGGGTGATGAAATATTTTGGCACTTCTAACATTAATGTCTACCAGAACATGAGAAACAAGATGAAGAAGAAGACTGTGCATGAGTGGTGGTCTGGGGAATCAGGGTTTTCAGCTTATGGTACCATCCAGGGCTGTGAGGATTTCCCTGCATATTAGTTCACACAAAAACCAGCAGCCACCATCTATGTTACAGTCCCAAGTCTTGGCTGGCACTGCAGCCTCAGATGACCTTCAAAGCTCATAACAAGTCAAAGCAAGCCCAAATCTGAAAGGGCAAGGTCCTTGTTTTGTCCATCTTCCTTAAAACCAAAATGCAGTCTCTGCCGTGCATGGCATCCCCAGACAGCAGCTAAAGGCAGCCAGTCCCTGCCCAAAAGCTCTGATTTTGAAGGGTAAACCTGTTCTGGGCCTCCAAACATTTTCTGTAAGAAAATTGTGTGTTCAAGAGAAACACCTATGGGACACCTCCTCCTTGTCTTGTATGTCTTGTATGAGTTGCTGTACCTGCCACAGCAGAGGTGGTAACTTCAGAAGTGGTGTCCTCTATCCATCTGCAATAGCTTCAGTGGGAAATCACAAAAAAATAGAGGGCTAGGTGGGACAGTCTGTACTTCATCCTGGGAGTGTAAGCCCCATATGGGCCAAGGAGACAAGAGCTGTGGTGAAGCAGAACCCCCAGAGTACTTTTTCTGGCAACCCCCACAGTGGCTGTGATGCCACTGCCACCCAGAGCCCACTGTGAGCCACCTCCAGTCTCATGGGAAGAACTTCTGGTCCTCACCAGTTGGACAAGGGGATGGGAAGCGGCAGGGGACATTCATTTCCGAGCCAATACCCAGCCTGTAATTGTAGCCCACAAGTCCATTTATAGCAGCCCCAAAAAACGTGGCTGTGCTGGATGCAGTGCACTGAATTTCTCTCCATCCCCCTCTCACTAAAAGCTTTCAGCTTTTTTTTTTCAGCAGCCCATGCTGACTGGAAAGCCTGTGGCCAGCATGGAGAGCAGGCAAAGCAGCAGATGCTTAAAGAAACCCTCAGGGTATGAGGATAGACAGAGGGAAATCTGCTTTCTCAGGCTGCCAACTCATTTGTCAACAAGGGCTCTGGACAGGCAGGCTAAAATATACAGCATGACACTGCAGCAGGCATTTCATTGCCACTTCTTATAAAGTAAGCCTGGAAATACCAGCAAGTAGTGCCTTCAGCTATGCTCCTTGATTGAATGAGACCAGTTCAAAAGTAAAACACTGCTGTTTGCTTATCTGGTAGTTGTTTGCCCTGCAAATCCACCTCAGAGTTTTCACTATCCTCTTTTGGCTCTGCAGAGCTGCTGGGAATAAACTGAAGCAAAACCCTTCCCCTTATTGTGGGCGCCAGCAAACCTGGCTTTGAGTGCAGCCAGGCAGTGGAGGGGCTGAATGAGAAGGTATTATTTACATAGGCTTCTTAGAGTCATCTGGCATTTTTAACTCTGCCCTGCAAGGTATGCCAGGTCCTGATGCACGGAGGAAAACCTCGTGCTCAGCTCCCCAGTTCAGTGGGTGCAGAGTGTGAGCCACACAGGGAAATCCAACCCACAGCATGTAGTGAGGAAACACAAAAAAATTGTGCTGTTCAACAAAACAGACTTGAAATCTCACATCCATCGAGCCTGCCAGAAGTGCTAGATAACTACAATGTCCTCTTTGATTTGCCTACCAAAATTAAGACTTCAAAGACAACCCTCCTCTGGAGAGGATGGACCAGACCAAACTTCTTCCCAAAAAATCCCCACAGGACCATCTGGCCTCCCCTGATGCATTAAAGGCTTAAAGCAGAGTGGCTCTTTAGCTGAGGTACCGATCTGTCACTAACAATTTTGTCACATCCTAAGCTGCCAACAGTTTCGCATGGTTTAACTCCACATAACCACAGCCACTGAGAAATGTTTGACTTCCAGCACAAAACGCTGCCACCCACTGGACTGATGTTTTCCTTCCCAGTTAAAACTAGCACTGATGCTCACCAGACAGGTCGAGGCTCGGAGTTACTTTTTCTTTGCAAGCATAACAAGTCCGTGGCTTGCTGTGAGCCGAGTTATGTATCTCAGCCAGGACAAACAGATCAAGTTCCAGCTGATTTCTCAAGGCTTTGGGCTTACCCCTGGCAGCCCAGTTGGATATCTACCTTGTGAGACTCCTGAAAAATCTCTTTTGGGCCAACAATTTCCTGTCTCCATCCCTGACACAGCACAGGCATTGCCCTGTTTCAGAGATGCTACCAGCGTTTAGATGATGCTCACAACTCAGCCACGTGTGGGTCAGCACAACACCAAAAAGCACAATAACACAAGTTTTCTGCAGTGACTGTGATCACACACAGGCATCTTAGGGCAGGGAGGGAGGAGGGATGTGTCCTGCTAATGCCAGGAGAGCAGCATCCCCACAGGCAGCATTTGTCAGGAGACTGCAGCCAGCCAAGGCACACCACAAGTTATCCCAGCCCCACTGCTTCCCTACAGATGGGATTTTTTTTCCCTCGAGGGGCAGAAAAATACTTTTTTGACTGAGGAACACAAATTTAATCTGAGCTCGCCCAGAAGGAAAGTCGCCCAAGCGCAGCCCTTCACCCGGAGCAGTCCCTCCTCGGGAGGGTGGGCATTCCTTGGGAAGCATTCCCGCTGGAATGGGAATGGAGCCGCCCATGCAGTGCTTGTTTTGCCAGGGCTGCGGGACAGCCCGAGAGCATCCCATGAGCCCGGGAGCATCCCGGGAGCATCCCAGGAGCCCGGGAGCATCCCAGGAGCCCGGGAGCATCCCGGGAGTCCCGGAGCATCCCATGAGCCCGGGAGCATCCCATGAGCCCCGGAGCATCCCATGAGCCCCGGAGCATCCCGGGAGCCCCGGAGCATCCCATGGGCCCGGGAGCATCCCATGGGCCCGGGAGCATCCCGGGAGCCCCGGAGCATCCCATGGGCCCGGGAGCATCCCATGCCGAGCGCCGCGCGTGGAGCTACAGCAGGCTCCTCCCGAGGACAGGCAGCTATAATTATAAACCCCACATCTGTTAGCGTTGCATAATCTTAACATCATCCGAGGCTCTCGGAGGGGAGAAAAAACTCATCTCGACTCGGAAAACTCCTGGCTGGCTGCAGGGAAAGGTTGGGAAGAAAGGCAGGCTGCGCGGGGCAGCAGTGGCTGGGGGCGGCTCCGGGCTCTGTTTTGAAAGGCTGCTGCGGATGTCGGGATCATGGGTGGAGGCCGCTTAGGAGCCAAGTGAGTTTGTGCGAACAAAAGCTAAAGCCCTAAATCTGGACCGTCCAGGGCTCTCTGGGATTTTCAATTTCCTTCCTTGTTCTTGCTCTGAAAGAAGAAGTTCAAGGCGGGGGGTGGAGGGGGGAGTTGGAGGAGGGGAGGGGGGCTGAAATGGATCTTTTAAAAAATTCATACTTGAGATGGGTCAGTTGAGTGTAAACACTCTGATAATACTGCCTGGGAAAGGTCCCTCGTGTGCACTAAGTGCGGGAAAAATGCAAGAGGTTTTTAACCACATGCAGTCAACCCCCTTCTGCTAATTTTTTTATATCAAAGGAATTATTCAGTCTGGATTAAGGTGGCAAGAGAGGGTGTACAGGGAAAAGAAGAGGTGCTGAAGCCTTGCCAGAGCCTCTCACCCTTTTGTGGGGGTTGGTTTGGATGCAGTACCCCACAGACACATTCACTGGCAGTGCCTTTCTCTGGTCCTTCTGGTCCTTGTCCTCTCCCCACTGGGCCCCAAGAAGAGCAGGACAGCAATTCACAGGCCCTTCAGTCATTTGAACCATAATAGGAAGGATTTATGCAGCCAACAAAGGTGCCTAGAGCTTTAATATGTCAGCTCAAGAAAAGTGATGGGGGTTTAATGCCAGCAGCAGCCCCTGCATGCTCAGAATGCCAAGGTCCATGTGGTTAATGCCCACCTGGCCACTTCCAGCGATGGGTGCCCAGGACATCAGCATCACCCTCAGACACTCAGTGCCATGCCACAGCACCTGGCTTGCAGCTCTGCTTTGTGACACAAGAACACCCTGCACTTCCACACCACCTCCCTTCCAGGACCTGTAAAACCCTGGAGGATGCTAAAGGCCAATTTTGCTTCCCACTCTTTTTTTTCACCATCCCAGAGTCTGATGCTCTGAGATGCCATTAGGAAAAAAAAATAAGGATCCAATTACTGCTCTTAAAAGCAGTACCCTAAAGCAAGGAAACAGGTTCTCCAAAATAAAGAGTACACAGAAGTCTGTAATCCTTTCCAAAAGCACAGGATATATGCATACAGAGTGCCCACAACTGGGATAAAACCTTCACAGTGCAGGGACAGGATATTGTTCTGCTTATCAAGAGGTTTTACAG